CAGCACAATGAAAGATCGTTCGAGAGTTCGCTCCGTTGAAATGATGCCATTCTCACGCAACGAAAGAAATTCTCATCATCGCGATTATCTATTTTATTTATTATTCCAGGGCAATCGCTGCATTTCGTTCGCGAAAGAAACGTGAAACGTAAGATTGCCCGCGTCTCGCTGATTAAAAACTGTCGTTTAATTGTCGACAGGTGTCTCGGCTATCCAAAACGACCCAACGTCATCACGTTCCTCGCAAGAAGACGTAATCCTCAGTGCCAGCGCGTACACGGGACCGGAAAGAACCTCCAGTGTGTTTCACCGTGATGAATCATCACCGACTTTTCAGAAAACGGTCCCGGCCTTTCAATTGGAAAGCTCGAAAAGTGTCAATAATTACGACAAAGACGATGTGAGGTTCGAGACGAGGAACACCAGGCACGAGGAATCCATTGATGAATTAACTTCGTCGAAACACGTGGACCACATCGATGGAAACAACATCGAAGTTAGACCCGGTGAATATTACCAGTAAGTTGAACTTTCAAAGTAAATTGAAAAAATTTTGGTAACATGGGATTAACCGACGAATTACATCGAACTTTAAAATTAGTTTTTCATCAAAAAATGTGGCTTGTAATACTTAACACTAAACGTACCGGCATTTTACATATACCTCAAATGACCCCTCGCGGTACATAAGGTATGCAAAGAATTTTTCTCGCTAAAAAAAATAAGCTAAGAGAAAAACAGAAAACGAGAAATTGAGTAATCAGATAATATAAGAATTTACAAAAAGTCAGATTAGCGAAAGAAATAACAACGAATGTACGAATTTAAAGTAAAATTTTGAAAAGGGGTCATTTGACCCCGCTTGGTACGTTTAGTGTGTTAAATCACATTTTAACGGAAAAATTTGCTTTGGATAGTTGCTAATATAAATTGTTGTGGTCCTAATATAACACCAGCGTTTAATAAAAAAGAAATCTGATAAAATTTGCTTCTAGTTACATGAAAAAAGGGAACGACTGTAGAACAGAATAAATAAACTACAGAAACGTAGAAGATAATTCTAGAGATTGACATATCTTTTTATAGTTTCCCATAAATGATTAATGTTAAAATGATCAACAGCATATCACCGACGACCAGTGAATCCATGTCGGGGGAAGGACTAGGGGCTCCGCAGGAAGCGAAACTCTTGTCGGAGCCCCATCAAATGAATGGAGTGTCAAACCAACAGGCACAGTACTTGCAGGCAATAGATCAACAAAGACGAGCTCGCCAAGAGATTCCGAGGATCTATAGCGATCACGCTCCACCACCCATACTGCAGACTGCCTCTCCGGGTCATCGACAAGCAAATCCTGATATACAGGATATTATCACGGGAATAGTGAAATTGTTGAACGGGAACGTGAACGTTGCTGCCAACACGGTGAGACCTCTGAGGCCGATTCAAGCCACCAGGTATAGCATATACGTGAATTCTACACATTAGATTGCGGATATCGCTTTATGAATATCCAAACATGTCCGTTATTCTTGTAAAAGAACGAGAAGATCAGGAAATAATTTTATTAAATTCTAACATTCTTCAAATATATTTTATATTGCCTGATTTCTCTTTTTTTCTTTTTTTTTTGGAGTAATTGTTTAACTTCTAAGAGAGCCCAACAAATTATAGCGTTTATATATTAATATCTATTATATTAATATATATTGTATATTATATATATTATATATTAATTATATATTATATTAATATATATATTAATATCTAATTGTGTTTCTTTTAGGATTAATAACAGAGGGCCACCAAGAATCTCCGATGTTCCACCACTACCGCCTGATTTTGACACGCCTGGGATGAACCCACCCCCGCCACCTGATCATCCTTATCCTTTCGAGAAACCACCAGCACCTGATAAACCACTGATTAACCAACTACCACCTGAAAGGCCGATTAGACCTTTTGTGAGCGGTGTTCCGTTACCAGAGCAGATTGTCCCTCAAGGAAATCGCCCATGGACTTGGAATCGTCCTGGTAATGCTACTAAATATTCTTTTCGTTTTTTTTTTTTTTTTTTTTTTTTTTTTTTTTTTTTTTTTTTT